CATTTGACAGGAACGCACCGCTAGCTGAGAGAATACACCAAATTTGAGCCTTCAAATAAGCAGACACACCAAACACAGGGCACATTCAATTTTATTTTGCTTTATAACAGAATAACAAAATATAATTGCAATTGTTTAATAAATGCTGCTTTGTGCCGCAGTGTGTGCTGTGGCAGCTGATATTTTAAGGGCTTGTACAAGCATAAAGCCACAAGATAGTTATAAAAATACAAAGTTAATTATTTTTCTATCTTGTCCTACTTATTTTGCCAGGAAAGTAGAGCTTGTAATAAACTAAAAACTTAGCTGGAACTAAATATATAGTTAAAAGTGTGTATACTATAATTCCAGTGTATATTACGTTGCAAAATATTTGTATTTCCTTGTGACCTGGCCACTCCTGCACAGGCTGTGACCTCTGTAAATCTCATTTTAGTTAGGCAATACAGCTTGGTCAGGGATAGACCCCAGCTTGTGATTTGGCAATGAAGGTATGGCTGTATATTGATGAGGTCATCGCTTAAAAGGGTATTAAAGGAGAATTATGGGGAGAATGAAATACACTCATCCCCATATTTAGAGCCGACGTGTGACACTGCAGCTGTCACATGTCAGCTCTATTGATGGACAACTGAACAATCACATACTCCCACCCCACCCCCCCTCTCCGTTCCTCCGGCGCTGACTGATGGGCGGGCACAGCTGGCTCTGCCTCTAGAGTGACAGAGCCAACTGCCTTCCAGGGAGCTGGGTGGATCCCGGTAATTTTGTCAAGATCCATCCCAGCTGCAGGGCGGCTCTGTGATGTCAGCATATAGTGGGCAATAGGCCGCTATATGCTGAGTTTTGGGTCACAGGAGGACACTAGTATATGTCATGCTGTGACCCTAAAGAGAACTATGGCAAAAAAGGTTTGGGCCATAGTTCTCTTTTAAACCTTAGTTTTTTTTATTTTATTTTAATGATTAGGAGGCCCACATGAATTAATTATTCTTCTTTCAACTTTTATATTTCTTCACTCTCTAGTTGTGTGCCTCTATAGACACACAGCATGCTGCAAGCCACACCCCTGTTCCCTCTACCACTCTCCTCCCAACAAATTGATTGACAGCAGAAGGAGCCAATTGCTCCCTCAGAACCAGGAAGTTTGGGGAACACTGAGTGTCACCCCAGACCCTGCGGAAGTGACAAGCAACCACAGGTAAGTGTGTGTGTGGGGGCAAACGTTGGCAAAGAGTTAAAAACCTACCTGTGTCTGCGCCGCTCACTACCAGATGTAGAATCCAGCTTCCCGAACAGCTGTGCAGGAGGACGTGTATGCGGGCGCATGCACACTCTATATCATTAGAGGGGATAGGAGGAGAGACACAGTGTTAGTGAATGCACATAGGCGGGAGCTCTGAGGGACACAGAATTTGTTTGTAAAATATAATTTAACTCACCCGCAATTGACAAAAATTTCGTATTCGTCCGAATCCCGGAATTGACTTTTGCACTTGAATCCCCAAAAACGAAATGAAGAAAAATCCGAATGAACTGAGCTGAATTTTCTGCCGCCTATCATGTCCATTTATTGGTTTCTATGCAAAAATAAAAACATAACTAAATAAAATAAAATAAATGCTAATTTATTAGCAGGCATTTATTAATTTTTTCATAAAGGTGAAATTTCCCTTAACCTCCCTGGCGGTATTCCCGAGTCTGGCTCGGGGTGAATTTTCCGTACCAGGAGCGGTAACCCCGAGCCAGACTTGGGGCTGCACAGAAAAGTGACACTCACCTTGTCCCTGCGATCCCGCGGCGTCCTCTGCTGTACGTGGCTCGAAAATTAAACTAAAAGCCGGCATCTGACTTTTAGTTTCGTTTTCGAGCGTCACAGCCGGCGGGAAATTCAAAAGTGAAAAGTTGTAATATACACAGAATACACACAATACAATGTAATCTGCTATGATTACACTTATGTATCAAACTATTTCACTTCAATTTTGTCCCTAGAGCTTTGTCCAGTGCCCTGCCTGACACTTTTTCACATTTTTAAGAAATTATAATATAATAAATAAT